AATAACTTGAGGATTGAAATCAATGATTTCCCTGGAGGCCCGGATGGGTTTAAGTTGGTTTGCAGATTCTGTTACAACAATGACAGAATCCCAATCATTGTATCCAATGTGGCTTTACTACATTATAGGGGATTTATTGTGGATGTATTGCTTCAAGTACACCCTTTATGTTGTTGGATCCTGGAGGCATTGAATGCATTGCATGCAAGAAGAAGAATATTATTTTGATTTGTTTTTCTTTCACTCTTAAGCACACTAGTGGTTTTTTTCATTGCTTCACTTTCTAGGCTTTGTATTATGGCATGATTTAATCCAGGGGCGGAACCAACATTACCATTGTTTGGGGGGGAGTTTTGAAAAATTAATTTATATTAATTTACATTTTAAATATTTCTTTTAAATAACTTTTACAAATAATTTTATAACTTAAAAAATCATTAGATTAAAATTGTGTGTAATTACATATAATATTTTAAAAAATATTCAAAATGTAAAGTGACATCACGTATATTTATGTTTTTTAAAAGATTATAATGTTTAGATATTCAAAAAAATTTTAATTTTAATTAAGATTTTATGCAAATTAAACAAAAAATATGTCTCCATACAAATGTAGAAATTCTCAACTTCCAAACAATTTAATTGAAAAATAAAATGTGTAGAATATTAATATAAGATTTAATAAACAACAAGACTTTTTATAAACTAGGAAATTATGTATTTTATTTTTGTTTAAACATATAAAAATGGAAAAGATAAAGAGACAGAGAAATGGAATTTTAATATCCACTATATTTGAAAAATCTCTTAATCCAATGAGCCTCAAATCTTTTACCAGCACGGCTGAGGATATTGTCTCTAAATATGAGTCTTGTGTCATTGATGACTAACTAAATATAATGCTAAAAAATGTGATATATGTGTTTTGGTTGATTTCTTTAGAATACATCTTGCATCGTGCCTTTCAAATATTTTGACAAACTTGAGCGAAAAATCCCTACTAAAAAATTGCTCGGTAAAGCTTTTAAGGCACACATATATATAGGGTGTTATGTACATACGTTTATACATACGTCAATTTGAAGGGTCTATATATTAAAGCCTATGGTTCCTTCTTCCCCCTATAATGCATTCATTTGTATTTATTTATTGTATCCTAACAGCATTTCATCACTGCTTAAACGGGTAGAAATATAATAAAATCTAGATAGGAATAGTTGATCTATTATAAAATGTATTACTTGATCCACCTTTAACCAAATAGCAGCTTTGCATTCAGCACAGATTTCTAAATATTAGAAGCTTCGAAAAAACACAGGGGAAAGCCAAACATTCTTCGTCTGTTAAAGATGATAATTTGTGATACTAAGATTGGGGGGGGGGGGACTGTGTTTCAGGTTTGTGCCATGAAAAAACAAATTAAAATACTCAAGGAGATAAGTCATATAACAATTCCATACACTATGTAGCATGTTTCTTACTTTAATTTGTTATCGTTGAATTGCAAATTCATTGAAATGTGTGTACAAGTAAACCGTTTGAATATAATGTGGAAGAAGATTTTAGATAAATTAAATAGGGAGAACGATAGTTAAGTCTTAAAGGAATAGATTAATGATAGTCAGATCTTCGGTAAAAGTTTTTACAAAATGAATTATATATATTAATTCTATTTCTTTCCTATTTGCCATTAATAAATATTAGATGCAATAAAGGATTAACATTCTATTAATTTAATTCCCGTTTCTATTAAATATACAATGTTAAAAATGAAACAAAATAAGTTAGAAATTGGTTATGAGATTTTTTTTGGTCAAAGGAATTGGTTATAAGATAACTGTTGCATTAAACACGTTTTAACAGTGTTTTCATTTCATATTGGCATTATCATTTATATTCATTTTATCATTTCTAATAAACAAATCTAATGTAACTTTTAAATATTCAAGTTCGTTAAAAATGTATTATTTTTATGATATAAACACGTGTTTACAAAACTTCTTTGAATTAAGTGCATAATGTTATGTTCAAAACATTTTGTATGAACCTTGAAATGTTAAAAAAAAAAAAACCGTTATCATTCAACAAGTTACAATTTCCAAATTCTTTAATGTTATGTCTGGATATAGAGATTTAAATTTAAGTTAAATTCATTGTTTGAATAATTAAAAATGTATGGATATTTAAATTTAAGGTCTACATCAATCTTTTTGTATTTTGAAATCTATTTTAAACATCTATTATTTCAAATCCTATGTCAATCTTTTTGTAATTTGACTGTCACATCAGCGGAGTTGAACAAGACCAGATTGCTAGCAGCAACCAAGACTGGACCTCCGACGCTGTTTGAGTTACTTTTAAATTCAAATATAAAATTTAAAATTTAAAATTTTACTTAATATCCAAACAAAAAATTTTAATATTATAATTATAATTTGAAATTTTTTACATAATTTAAATAAAAAATTTAGAATGTATAAATTTTAAATGTGAGATTTTAAATATGATATTTTAAATTCAAATTCACCCATTCAAACGCAATCTAAGTTCAAAATTAAATCAGGGATTCAGTTACAATTGTTTTTGGCCTATGTTGTTCATTACATATCTTATTTAAAGTATGGTTAATGCTAAGTTTGATTAGTACGACAGTTAAACATTCTAACATAATATAAATTCATTTATTCTATTACGTTTCCTTTTGTTATTTCCTTTTGTCAATACTGACGTACAATTGCTTAGCCCATCCCCGTGCAACGCGCGGGGATCACGCTAGTTAATAACGGACGTGATGACTGTACTTGTTGTCTTTCATGGCCATTTCTCTGTCCCCTTTCCCGAATCCTGTAAATCCTAGTATCTACAAGTCCTTCTCCTTCATCCCCAAGCCAGTAATCTCTAACCGCAACTCCAACCTGACCTCCAAGAGGCACTTGCTACACAATTTCTTTGCTCTGCATCATCCTAATTCCTCAACTTCCACTTGAGCAATCTTCAGCTGAAGCTCTTCCCTCCAAATCTCTCTTTTCTAGCACTGAGGATACGAAATCCTAGTTTCAATTTATGGCAATGGGTTTGTCATTCGCGTCCCACCTGAGTTCCAGGACATCAACAAACCCGAGATAAATTCACCGACCAACTGATGATGAAAGTTTGCTGTTATGTTGCCTTTTCTCATTCTGATATTGATGTTGCAACATTTTCTTAATATTGAGATTTTTCTTTCCCTGGGGTGGCAAGGTTTATGCCTTGTGATTTTTTTTTTTTTTTGGGGCTGAATTGCCCTTCGATCATTTGTAGGATTATAATGCGGGACTTTCTCTTTTATGGAGACAAGGCAAAGCCAAAGACTTTTGCTGCATGATCTGCATCACCCGATGGGTGTTCTTATTATTGAACTCCCTACTTATTTTCTTGTTACGCTCTTGCTTAGAGAACATGTGAGATCTAGAGAACATATGCTTCTTCACCATATCATTGATTTCGTAGTGAATCTTTTAGGACAATAAAATTGAGGGCATTATAGAACTTTAAATTTTGACATTAATTTTGGCAAGAGAAGCTGAACCTCGGACATTATAAACATATGCTTTGCATGCATATTTGATTCCTCTGTATCCAAGAGGGAAAAAATTTGAAGTTACTCTGTCCAAGGTTCAAATAAATTTCCATAGTAGTCGTTAACTACATCTTCCACTTCAGGCTGATTCTTTGGTTGAAACAGATACGAGGTTCTCAGCGTTGTTACTCGCCCAACCAATCAACTAAAAATCACCTTCTTAGAGGTAATTAGACAGTCAATGCAGCTTTATTAACGTTATCACTGGTTACTGTAATTGATGTTTGATCCAGTTCCCTTCCTGGTTTTTCATGTAAACGCTTTGGGAGCTCACACATCCTTCATTGAATAGAGCAGGCACAGGACATAACTGATTTAGGCTCTTTGAAGAATGCGGCAAGAATATTTGTTCCAGGTTTAATTTTTAATTTAAATTCTGGTTGCTTGCTTTCCTTTGTTCTGCAAGAAGATCGTTTTGCCTTTGCCTTGTCTTTAGGGTTTACGTTGTCCCTTTTCCAGCACTGCATCAGCCAAACAATCAGCCACCATACCCCTTCATGATCGTCATGCTTTAAACAAATATGCCCGTCTCTTTCCAACAGAACTCTGATCAAGTGGATAAACTGGAAAGTGCGCATCCTGATTAAACTAGCAACAACCTGGGAGCCAGCTCAACCCAAAGCTTCTTATAGCCATTTCCACACCAGTGAGTAACCCCGACAATTCAGCCTCCAAAATTCTCAGCCCATGTAAGTCTTATACACACATAACAACGTCCTATCCAACACCCGCTGGCACTTATGACATTACCTACCAACATTGCATGATGATTATACTCCCTCGCCCCTTAAAAAGTTCAAAAGAAGAAATCGCCAGCATCAATATTCTCCTCGTCAAAAACATTTTTTATCCCTTGCTTATGGTATCTAAGGCTGCCCATGGCAGGATGGGAAACACTTTTCTCTGCTCTAACAATAAAAATCAAGGATGAGGATGGTTTCAGGTAAATTTGATTTCAAAGGGATTAGAATAGAACTATCTAACAACTGAGGGAATTCTGAAATGTCAAGGATTAGTAGAAAAGCACTTGCAGGTGGGGATAGTGATGAATCTTGAATGAAATTAGTTTAATGTGTAGATACTCTCTCTCCCCCCTAGGATTAAAGGAGATATTGTACACATTGACAGCTACAAATAGACTTAAGGCATGACACCAAATATTAATTCCTTCTCGGTGTTTTCAACTGTTGAAAGAAATATTCTCTCTAAATGGTTTACTGGACACGTGGAACTGTCTCCGTGGCTGAATTAATCTTTCAAGAAGTTCTTGTGTTATCTGCAAGCAACCACAGTCTAAAGCAACTATTTGCATGTAACGCATGCATTCAACTTTCAGTGAAATAATATTCCAATGCAATATTGGCCTTTCTAATTTCAGGACGTACTATTTCTATGAATTTGGAAGAGACGTAAGAGCACGTAGCATTAATGGCAAGTGTTAGCTGGAAGAGGTTTGTACCACGTTCATTTTACCTATATGACTGACACATCTATATCTAACCCCCTTGCTCAATACACGGCAAAACGAAACACATTCATATTCTTTTCCAAATTTAATTAACGCTATATTTCTAGGCAATTGTTGACGGAGCAACGGTGTTACAGTCAAGTGGGATGATGAAAAATAGTTAGCCTTTTAAATAAAGATTGAGTTTTAAAAACAAGATAAAAAATAAAAAATCAAATTTAAAGACTCAGGCCATTTTCCTAACTCTACCTACCATTCATTTAAATTAATTTTTAATATTATATTCATTAATATAAAAATATGAAAAAATTTAAAATTTTAATAAATCGGTTTTTTATCAATTTGATCAATACAAATTTAATCTAACAGTCTAATTTAAGATTAAAAAATTTTATAATTTGACAGACAGACTCTGAATAATTCAAATATAATTTAAATGATTTAATTTAATATTAAAAATATATAAATTTTATAAATTAGTTATTTAAATGTATTTTAAATGATCCACGTTTAATATTAATTTTTCTATATTTATAATTTAATAAATATAATATTAAAAATATTTAAAAATTAATTAAATGAATAAATGGGATCAATTTGGGTTGAAATGGCACATGATATAATCCCTTGGTTACGTAACCAACAGCCTTCTTCCGCGTCTCCCAACATTCCAATCCAACTAACATTCTTTCTCACTCTTCCTCATCAGTCATCACATCCCATGCTTGAAATGTTAAGCAACAAATTGAAATTGTGCCTCGCAGAGCTGGAATCACTGCTTTTCAGCACCGGGAATCCTTCCCTGCGAATGATACCTCTTGCTGTAACACTCTCCTCGAAATGGCTTTCCTTGAAGCCACGCCTCCCTCCTCACCACTTCCACTTTCTACTTCATATCTCGACACCAGCACCGTTATCGCCCTCTGTGTTTTCTTCGCTCTTCTCTGCGCTTGCATCGTTATCGGCCACCTTCTCGAAGAGAAACGGTGGGCCAATGAATCCATCACTGCACTCCTTCTGGTACTGCTTTCTCGGCCTATTCGATTGCTCTCTAAATGTTCTGAATGTACCGCTATTTCATTTTTTTTTTTTTAACATTTGTTTTGGTACAGGGGTTGTGTTCTGGAGTGGTGGTCTTGCTGGTGACCAAGTTCAGTAATACTGAATTTTTCAAATTCAGCGAAGACTTGTTCTTTCTGTACTTGCTCCCTCCAATCATTTTTAATGCTGGGTATAGTTTCTCTCTTATACAAACTTTGTTTGGTAATTGGTACCACAGGATCCCATGGAAGAATAATAACCCTAACCCAAGGAGGTTCGAAAATTTCGCCTAATTTTGGGAAAAATATTTGTTGGTCTTTGTATTTAAATTTTCCCATAATTCCAGGATTTTATAGACGGATCATTCTCGGAAGTTGACCGGGCTGATTTTAGATCTCAGGTGTGACAAAGGAGGAGTCATTACATTGTAGATCACATAATGTAGCATTGAAATTTAAAACCATTTCTTATAAGCAAGTGTATATGAACATGACACAACAGGACAAGCACTGCATGTTTTAAGTCCAATTTAAAATGTTCTGTCGCCTGATAACAGTGTCAAGTGCCAGCTTGTTAATCTAGAAGCTTGGTAATGTAGGTCAGATTTGTGAGTTAAGAAGTACTCTTTTTGGTTCTATTTATAAGTCACTTTTAATAAAGTTTATTGGAACTAAGAAAAATTTTAAACCTTATTAATTCTGTCTTAAAATTTGATAAATTTTCACCTCTATCTTCTAATAAGAACAAAATGAGTTAATTTTAGTAATTGTTTCTATCATTTAATAAAGGCAAAAAAGTAAATATGAATATAAAAAATAGTAAAATGCCCTATAAATATAACATAAATTAATCTTTTTTCTGTATCCTATAAATAGGAGGACCAGGGGAGTATTAAAGTCTTTAGTGGTTTCTTTCTAGTATGGTTTTGGTGGTGCTTTTCTTCTTGATTTAATTCACCTCTAACTATATGATAGTTTCCAAGTGAAGAAGAAGCAGTTCTTCAAGAATTTTTCAACTATTCTACTGTTTGGAGTCTGTGGAACTGTTATTTCATTCTGCTTCATATCATTTGGTGAGATCCTTGTTCTCCTAAGATTTAGTTACTTTGGGTCTCAAAGTGTAGAATCTTATTCAGAGACTTACATGTTGCTATCAATTTTTCAATCTATGCATGTAGTGTATGTTTCATAAAGTAATAAAAATTGTGTTTTTTCTGCAACTTTTCCAGGTGCCTTTTTTCTGCTCAGGAGGATAGGTCTAAGCTTGAATCTGCAAGATTACCTAGGTAAGCAAGATTATTGTTTAACCCAAGCATTTATTTTCTTGAGAATCATAATTAAGTACCTTCCGACAAACTTTTGATATTTAGGGACCAAATATCGACAAAATGGCTGTTCAGTTTAGAAGTTTAATGGGACAACTATGTTCTGTAATCGGTCCCTTAAGTGCACAAAACTTGATTTCCATGTTTATAACTCTCCCTCTTTTTTTAAAGCGGTCATCATTTATCCTTCTATTCTAATTGTTCATGAACCCATACATGTGAAGCCATCGGGGCCATATTCTCAGCAACTGATTCAGTTTGTACATTGCAGGTATATCCTTTTATCAAATTTTGTTTTTGGAAAAAAAAAATGATACGTGAATTTCATGCTTTCTTCTTCTTTCTTCGGTTAAGGTTCTCAGTCAAGATGAAACACCCTTCCTATACAGCGTTGTATTTGGGGAGGGAGTTGTAAATGATGCAACCTCTATTGTACTTTATAATTCAGTCCAGTCCCTTGACTTCAGCAGCATTAGTGCTACTACAGCCCTGACATTGTTGGGGACATTTCTCTACCTCTTCCTCACTAGCACTGCCCTCGGTATATCTGTAAGTATTACTGAACGTGTTGTTTGCTAAGGTTCTAAGTACTTAAAAACCAATCTTATTTAGAAAAAACTCAAGCATTTTGGTTATGTCATAACATGTGCGTGAATAATATGTATATATAAATATTTATGAAATTTCTTCCATAAATTTCTAGTGACTAGGTTTCGAAGTACTAGTTGGGAAATTAATTAGGATGTCTGCTAAATATGTGCCAGACTGCCACCTAAGTGAATGTGCATGTGCTGCTTAACAAATTTATTGGGAGTCATAGTGAGAAATTGTGTGTACTGAATGTAAAGCTGCATCATAATTTCTCCTTCAGAAGTTACTTGTCTTCTACATGAGGTTATTCATCTCATTAGGTGTTATTTAATATATAATCTGAACTCTTCGGTCTAACCAGCGCACCAAGTATGCTTTCTGAAAGCCCTGTAGGCTGTGTCTGTGTATCAATGGATTTTTAGAATTGTAAACTAGTTCGCTAATGCCTGCTTGGGTCTCTTATGATCACTGTTCCCCAACCAGTCACAGAGTCCCTGCAAACTAAACATTAAATTGTTGGTCTTTGGAAAACGGAGTTTCATTTCTCTTCTGACTTGCAATATCATGCTTTTCTCAGGTTGGCCTTTTGAGTGCTTTTACTATTAAAACACTTTATTTTGGAAGGTATGAATATTTATGTTGCTCTTATATAAATCTGTATGTATGTGTGACCTTACACAAGTGCATTTAACTGTTTAGCAATTAAGGACATTTTTAAGTTTAAAGAATAAATGATTTTCAAATCATCTTTAAAAGTGATTAATTGTTTATAGATTTTATCAAAAGAAGTTAATTTTTTGTTTGGTTACAATATAAATAGTGCATTTCATTTGAAAATACTTTTTAAACTAATCATAGGCTATTTAAAATAGTTTCTCAAAATAATTAGAAATATGATTTTTTATATTTTAATAATGTTTAAAAATTTGATCTACTTATTTTTGGAAAAGAAAAATTGATTCATTTTTCAAAAAAGTTTAAACAAACGGCTCCTAAATTGTATATTCCTAAAATGCTTCCTAGCGTCCTTTGCAACTGAAGTTAAAAAAAAAAAAAAAAATTTGCCCTCCTAAATCTGGTAGGACTATATAATACTTCTTTTATTATAAACTTTTCTATTGTTGTTAGATTTGGAGTGAATTTGGAAGTTCAAGGAAAATGATTAACCATAGAATGGGACAATTAGGGGTAAAAGGTGAAAAAACGCACGGATTTCATCAGTTGTGTCCTCTCTGTTTCACTGTATAACTGTAATGTAAACAGCACTAGCTTTTAGCAATGGAATCTGATCTCCGCTCTCATCCGGCTTTGAAAGAATACGAAATCTTTTTAAGCAATTTACTTTCAATATCAAAACACAACAGGAAACACTCACAAGTAAGAGTAACCTACTTTTATGAAATCATGTTAAGCTTTTTTGTGCTATTTGACACATTTCCTTTTATTAACAGGCATTCTACAGATCGTGAAGTTGCGCTCATGATGCTTATGGCTTATTTATCATACATGATTGCTGAGGTACCTCAACCATATCCTCTATAAAAACGCAGTTGTAAAATTTTGTCGTCTTTGAAAAGAAAATGGGTGTTTTATGTGTTTAGGTTACATGAAAAAGCTTCATACACACTCTAATTATATCTTAGCCTCATCATGATATTTGGCTGAACGCAATTGAATTTATGCATGTAAGACAAAAATAACAGTAGAGAATCAAAATTAGAGAATTTACTGGCAAAAGTGCAAGAGGATATAGAGATAGCTTTTCCCTACTGAATGGCAGTAGCATAGAGCAAGGCAGTGAAATTATTTGCTTTGAAATTTTTTTTTTTTGGTTAATATTTGCTTTATAATTCTAAGCTATAAAAAGTTCTGGCTTTTGCAGCTTTTGAGTCTGAGTGGGATTTTGACAATTTTCTTTTGTGGCATTGTCATGTCCCACTACACATGGCACAACGTTACAGAAAGCTCAAGGATTACTACCAAGTAAGGAAATGATCTTTAACTCCCCTTTAGTTAAGGCATACTAATGTTAATCGTTAACCAGTTATGAAGGAAAGGATAAGATTGGAAGTTCGGTTGCAAAGTTTAATGAAATCATATCATTCTATTACAGCTGTTCTTCTCTTGTTTTCTTTTTCTTTACTATGTCAAACTTTATTTTTTGACTACTTTCATGATTGCACTTATATTTGTCCATGTTGGCATGGATGCTTTGGATAGCTTTAGTTAGTGAATGCGCCTGATTGAACTACTTTCATGATTGCAGGCATGCTTTTGCAACTATCTCATTCATCGCAGAAACTTTTATATTTGTATATGTTGGCATGGATGCTTTGGATCTTGAAAAATGGAAAACCAGCAACGCAAGGTAACTGAGAACTTCCTATTTCATATATATTGACTAAAGCAAAAACCAGCCAGTAACTTTAATGGAAAACCCGTAACGCAAGGTAACAGATTTTCTACTTCACTCTCTAACTTTAACGGAGGAGCCAGTGGTGCGCTAAAAGTTTTCTAAATTGTTGCCTTACTATATTTTGGGAGCAGCGTAGGGACTTCAATTGCTGTCAGCGCAACTTTCATGGCGTTAGTGCTGATTGGTAGGGCAGCTTTTGTGTTTCCTATTGTAAACATTAAAAACTGCATCAAGACACAAGAGAGTTCCAAAATAAATTTTCGATCGCAGGTCATTTAGTACTTCAAATTCACTAGTTCTCCGTGTTGTTAGCTCAGTTGACCTCATTTGATTTCTGATGAAATGTTAAAAAATGTCAGTTTATAATATGGTGGGCAGGCCTATTGAGAGGCGCGGTGACTATCGCCTTGTGTTATTACCAGGTTAGTAGATGTCATGTCAAGTTCATTCTTTTTAAAGACTATATGCCTTTTAAGTTCAACCCTCAAGACAGACATTTACCTGGGCTACTTCGAATTGCAGTTTGAGAAAGAGAGAGGGTCCACTCAAGCATGTGCAGTGGTTATCACCTCTACCATAGTCGTTGTGTTATTCAGTACCGCGGTGGGTTTCGTTTTGTGTAAATATGAACCGCATCACGGCACGATCAAATATGGTATTAACATGAAACCTCCCATTGCAAATGAAGGTGTTTGGTTCCATAACAAAGTCCTTGATTCAGGCGGTGCAGCTGAGGGATTCAAAACAAGCGATTTCTGAATCCACTGAAAATGCGGAGGATTTGAGATTCTTGTTCCTTGAAAATGCTGGTCCTAGTAACCAGGGCGACAATCAGTCAGATCGGAGGAGAAGCAGCCTAAGTTTACTGATAAGTCATCCGACGTCGACGGTTCACTACTTTTGGAGGAAATTTGACGATAAATATATGAGACCAATATTTGGTGGGAGGGGTTTTGTTCCATTCGCTCCTGTTTCGCCTTCTGACTCTAATGGAGCCGCGGATGCTCCTCCAGATCCAGACAATTAATGCAGCTACTCGTTCGTATGGATGTCACCAATATCCACTCCCAGTCCCACACCCCCATTTTTTAATATAGAAATAAAATTTGTATTTAGTTGTCTAAAATAATTGTTTATTTTGTATACTATTCGATCATTTGTGCCTATCACTTGTAAGACATACATGTACATGTGAAAGCTGTTTTGTGACAATTAAGTTGCATGTAATGTATCTTTGTTTAAAAAATTAAATTAATGTCTTCTTAAATAATTCAATTTAAATAATCATAGGGATTATAATTATTTTTAAATATAAAACTTATTGTTAAGTTATGCAGAACATTTTATGAAAGCTCTTATAAAGTCTTTTAAAATAGTTTTTAATATTATTTTTGAAAATAAATTGTAAATGTTATATGATCTATTTTAAACTTTATTTTTTAAAATAATTAGGGTCCTTCATTCATTCATGGAAACTCATCCAAACCAAGTGCGGACAAAGTTCAACAAGGGAAAGTAACGAGTCAAGGGTAGAGACTTCAAGAAGGAAATGAGAAACAAAAAACGAGATAACCAACAAATTAACCAATTCCTTCTCTATCTCTTTGAAGAATGGGTTGCTAGAAAGAGGTCTCCAAGCAGGTCGAGTCATTAAGTAGGTTAGATGAAAGAGGGAGTGAGACACTAGGAAGCCACTCATTTGAGTCCACACCCTTCAAAGAAAAGGCTGCCAACCAATCAATAGTAAATTTGCCTTCACATTTGACAAACAAAAAAGGAAATAAAAGTATTTGACTCAAGGCTCTTAAACAAATCTCCAAGCATTCCATGGTAAGACTAGGTAGTAGGAAAGATCTATCTATGACAGAGCTCTAAACAAGTCTAGGCAATCAGTTTTTGCTATTACTTTTTGGTTGCTGAAATCCAAAGCTATATTGACAGCTTTCTGGCATGCAAGAAGCTTTGACATGAAGCTAGATTTTACATTCACTCGCTCAAACCAACCTTTAATAAAAGAACCCAAGAGATCATATTAGATAACACCAATGGCAGCTTGACCAGAAGAGGGAGTGAATGCACCATCACAATTAATTTTGGCTGCACCTAATTCAAGGGGGGAAGCCAACGCCTGTGGGATGCATGAGATTTAGCAATAGGAGTGTAGGCTATTTGCAAGCTAGACTAGAATTCCTCTACAACAGCTTCGGTTACATTCAAAGCATGAACAGGATTTAATGCAACGGCACTACATATTGATGCAAATTTGGTTTTCCATGTATTCTGTAACACCCTCAAATTTACAAACCGATTTTTCGCAAGTTATTAATTCAAGAAATCATTTTTTTTTCATTGAACCCTTATCATACCCTTATCATGGTAGAAAAATTTCTACCATGATACATCCAAGACAATATACCACAGGTCTTAAAATATCTCAAAAAGCAATTAGAACTATGAGGGACAGACATGATCCTCATAGCATGTTATTTAAATTAGGTCATGAATCAAAAGGGACAGACATAATCCTCTTGGACATATAAATGCATTTAATAAAAAGGATTAGAGTTTACATGCTCCATAGACAAGATATGTCCTAAGTTGGCACAAGATACATTGTATAATCCAAAATAAGAGGCAACGTAAAAGATGGTGTCTCATACACCATAATTACACCTCTGGTGCTTTCTCGGCCGGATTCGCTCCTGTAAAAATATTAACCACGGGGAATGAGACTTAAAAGTCTCAGTAACCAAAAATTAATATGTAATGATGCATGCGGATGTAACTAATCATGCGATTGCTAAGTGGGCACACAAAACATTTAACCGAACAATATTTTCAAACAAACCGAACAAGTATTTAATTGCATGACTGCACCTTATATCCTCCTTTCACCATGCTCGGACGCCAAATCACCCGGCCAAAGGTGAGTTGGACCAAGCGACACGCCACTCATTGGGTCCAATGAGGGCTTACCACGTGGTAATAATTAACCGAACAGAAATTCCCATTAACACCATACATTAAAATACCCTGACAAGTCATGCATCATTCAAATATCCAAACAGGAATATATCCGAACAATAATATCTCATCATGATAAACAAAAATAAATTTTTAACCCACTTGGCAATAATTTCAAACAAGTATATACAGTATTTATTTTCAATAATTCATAATTTTTCCAAACAACAAAACAACACATAACCATTCACAAACACACTCATCACAACACATTAATAATGGTTACCTTGTGTCTTGAATAACAAGTTCCCCTTCACAACTCCTTTTTCACCACTATCTTTGTCAATATAATCTACATAATTATTTCACAATACTATATATTAATTTTACATTAAAATAAATAACTCTAATTTAAAGAGTTAGAAAGTCTTAAATCTATAGTCCATATTAACACTAATTTAAGATTTATGCCTTATTTAACTTCCCAAATTCTTTTCTAAAATTCTCGTACCCTAATGAACTATTTTTTTTTATCCTCAATTCACTTCTAGTATCACAATTTCATCCTTCTACATTCTAAAAATTCATCCAAAAATAAATTAAAAATTTTAAAATTATCCTGAAGCCTCAAATCACCTTTCTATAACCTCAAAAATACCTATTCATACTTAAATAAATATTTAATAATCATAGATTTATCCCTACATCTCAGATTCCACATAAATTCAACCATATAGATCTAGATTTTAACTCAAAAATTCTTAAACATGAGTTTCAACCTTAAGAAAATATTCTATAATATTTACTATATCCCTAAGAATTTTAACCTATATTTTTAATCCATCATATCATCAGATTAACTATCCTATAGAAAAATCCTAATCAAAATATTTACTCTATCCTACAAAATAATCATATCACTAGAAAGCTAATATTATTTAGAAAATAACTATAAAATTAATTTTGTAATTAAATAAATTTTTAAATGCTAATCTAAACAGGAAAGTTAGAACATACCTGAAGAAAAAAGAAAATAATCCCCCCTTGCGAGAAAACGCCGAGCAACGTGAGAGGAAGAGAGAAAAATAATATAAAAATGGGATTGTGAGTCCCAAAATTATATTAAAAAAAAACTATAGGTTTGAATTTAATTATTCAAACCTTTGGGCCCAAAGTTGCAATTTTCTCTAAATTGCATCTTAGCCTCTCATGCTTCCTAATGCACACACCCCCTCCTTTTTATACATGAAGGCACCTCTTCTCTTCCCTCATCTAACCAATGTGGGACTTAGAAACAACAACCTTCCACCCCCCCTTTTTTTTGTTCCTTCTACCTTCTCTTTTTTTTTAACACACACATAAAAAAAATTATTTATGTATTATATCTTAACTAAATATTGCTTATGTGGTTTTAAATTTAAATTTTTAAATTCATAATTAAATACCTAATCATAATATTATTTCTAAATAACCTCAAATAATATAAATTCCTATTATTATCATTTTTTTCCTCAAAACCTAAATTCCACAATTTCTTTATTATATAAAAATCAGGATGTTACAATTCTCCCCTCCTTTTAGAAATTTTGTCCTCAAAATTTAATAGATAAGCTTAGAAACTATGTACCTAAGCAAATAAATGTGGATAATCTCGCCTCATACTCTCCTCGGTCTCCCAAGTAGCATCACCTAGGGCTCCACCCTTCCAAATCACCTTCACGAGTCGGATGGTCTTATTGCGTAGTTGTTTGTCCTTAAAGTCCTCAATTCGCTCCGGTTCGGATCTAAAGGTCAAATTCTCCCTCAATTCTACTTCTTCAGGTTCAATAACATGGGAGGGATCCGGGTTGTACTTCTTCAACTGTGATACGTGGAACACATTATGGATACCTGCAATCTGTGGAGGTAATGCAACTCTATATGCAGTAGATCCAATTCGCTCCAAGATCTCATACGGGCCCATAAATCTAGGTGTCAATTTCTTTGCCTTAATGGATCTACCAATGCCTGTCACTGGAGAAACCTTCAAAAATACATGATCTCCTACTTCAAACTCTAACGGCCGTCTCCTCTTATCAGCATAGCTCTTCTGTCGGCTCTGAGCGGTTAGCAATTTTTGCTTAATCATTGCAATCTTCTGGGTGGTTTGCTCTACAATTTCTGGACCAATGATACTCCTCTCACTTAATTCTGTCCAACATAAAGGCGATCTACACTTCCTTCCATACAAGGCCTCATAAGGCGCCATCCCAATACTAGAATGATAGCTGTTATTATAAGCAAATTCAGCTAATGGCAAATGATTATCCCAACTACCTGGTAGTTCAATGGCACAAGCTCTCAACATGTCCTCCAAAGTCTGGATCGTCCTCTCTGTTTGTCCATCTGTTTGGGGGTGGTATGCGGTGCTAAAACTCAGTCTGGTACCCATAGCCTTCTGTAGCGCACCCCAAAAGTTTGAAGTGAACCTTGGGTCACGATCTGACACAATTCTAGAGGGTATACCATGAAGTCTAACTATCTCCTTAATGTATATCTCAGCAAATTTCTCTAATGTAGAGGTAAACTTGATCGCCAAAAAGTGAGCTGATTTGGTGAGTCGGTCTACTATCACCCAAATAGCATCCTTACTCGAGGGTGTTCTTGGCAGTCCAGTGATGAAATCCATAGAAATATCATCCCATTTCCACTTTGGAATATCTAACGGTTGCAGTGTTCCAGCTGGCTTCTGATGTTCTATCTTTATCTTCTGACACGTTAAACATCTAGAAACAAATTCAGTTACATCTTTCTTCATTCCTGGCCACCACCAACCTCGCTTCAAATCATGGTACATTTTAGTTATACCGGGATGAATTGTATATTTGCTCCTATGAGCTTCTTCTAAAAGGATATTCCTCAATCTTGGATCATTAGGTACACAAACTCTACCTTTATACTTCATCACTGTGTCCTCAGAGATGGTAAAATTTGGGGCCTTACCTACCACTATCTCCTTCCTTATATTCCTTAAGTAGTCATCACTTTGCTGTGAGACTCTGAGATCTTCCCAGAATTTGCTCTCAAAGTCTGCTACCTGGAGTGCGGCCATTTGATGTTCAATCACATCTACTGGAACATCATGAAAACTGTTCCATAAATGATATTCATGAACCATCAAATGTGCAGCATGAATAGTCTTTCTACTTAAGGCATCAGCTACCACGTTAGCCTTACCCGGATGGTAATGTAATTCAAAGTCATAATCCTTTAGAAATTCCATCCATCGTCGCTGCCTCATATTAAGCTCTTTTTGATCAAATAAATACTTCAGGCTCTTATGGTCACTGAAGATTTGAAACTTAGATCCATACAAGTAGTGTCTCCATATCTTTAGAGCAAACACAACTGCAGCTAACTCCAAATCATGAGTAGGGTAATTTTCCTCGTGTGGTCTCAACTGTCTGGAGGAATAGGCAACCACTCGGTCATTTTGCATCAAAACACATCCTAAACCCTTTAAAGAAGCATCAGTGTACAGAGTGTACGGCACCACAGGGTCAGGAATAGTCAATACTGGAGTAGTGGTTAACCTCTTTTTCAATTCTTGGAAAGCAGCTTCACATTTGTCAGTCCAAATAAATGGGGCATCCTTCTTAGTTAGCTTAGTTAAGGGCATCGCAATTTGCGAAAATCCCTTAATAAAGCGACGATAATAACCTGCTAGACCTAAAAAGCTTCGTATCTCTGTAACAGATTTTGGCTGTTCCCACTTCATCACTGCATCAATCTTGCTAGGATCCACCGCAACTCCATCTCTGGACACAACATGGCCCAAAAACTTTACTTCTTGGAGCCAAAATTCACACTTGCTTAATTTGGCATAAAGCTTATGTTCCCTCAAAACTTGCAAGACGATTCTTAAATGTTCACCATGAGCCTCCTCATCCTTTGAATAAATAAGAATGTCATCAATAAACACTACTACAAACTTATCTAAATAGGGTCGAAAGATCCTATTCATGTAATCCATGAATACCGCAGGAGCATTCGTAAGTCCAAACGGCATCACCATGAATTCATAATGCCCATATCTCGTCCGAAATGCTGTCTTAGGTATATCCTCTGCTCTCACTCTCAATTGGTGGTACCCTGACCTTAAGTCAATCTTTGAGAAAACTGCGGATCCCACAAGCTGATCCAGCAAATCATCGATTCTCGGAAGTGGATATTTGTTCTTGATGGTTACTTTGTTCAATTGTCTATAATCAATGCACAATCGGAGGCTTCCGTCCTTCTTCTTTACAAAAAGGACTGGAGATCCCCAAGGTGAAACACTCGGTCTGATGAAACCCTTCTCAAGTAGCTCTTCGATTTGCTTTTTCAGTTCTGCTAACTCTGAAGGGGACATCCGATAAGGAGCCTTAGAAATTGGCCCTGTACCGGGTACCAATTCAATTGAGAACTCTACCTCGCGCTTTGGGGGTAAACCGGAGACTTCGTCTGGAAATACATCCGCAAATTCTTTGACAATTGGGATATTCTTCACGCCTTCATCAATCTCAGCTTGGATAGAGAAGAAAACCATGTAGGCCTGGCAACCCTTCTTCATACATCTATCAACTTGCGCCGCCGACAAGAAAACATGATCTTGAGTCTCGACTGGGGTCACCGACAAAGAAGATAAAGACACACTCCTCTCTCTACAATCTAGGATAGCACCATTTGCAGCCATCCAATTCATTCCCACAATTACATCCATACCTCTCAGTGGTAGGATAATTAAGTCCATAGTTGTTTTCCTATTTTTAAACTCGACTACTAGGTTAAGGCATGCCTTAGCGGTCCTCACAGATTCTCCCGCAGGAGTAGACACATTCATATCAAACGGTAAAATACACACAGGCAAATCAAGGTTCTTTACACAAGTTTCAGAAATAAAAGAGTGTGTAGCACCCGAATCAAATAGTGCAACAATATCATGATGAAGGATTTTGATGTTACCTCTAATGGCATCTGGGGAGTTCATGGTGTCCTGAGTAAGAGCAAACACACGACCAGAGACAGTAGGATGTTGGGAAGGGTTCTTCATATTTGAGCCCTGGTTGTCCCCACAAAACTTTGCAATGTGACCGGGTTTCCCACAAATGTAACAGATCCAGCACTGTCCGAAATGACGACGCCCGCATTTAGTGCACTGTTGAGAGCTCGCTGTACTCGGGGCAGGGGTAGATACTGTTGGGCTCCTCTGTGACCCGTAATAACTACTATGATAGCTCCTCTGTCCTTGGCCCCTTTGAAATGGACCCTTCTGCCTTCCTTGGTTCCATGAGCTACTCGAACCCTGATGGTTTTTCTTCATAATGCCTCCGGTGGGTCGAGGGTAGGTTGGGGGTCTACTATATGAATAACCCCTCTTCTCTCTCTCAACCTCCTTCTTACTGCGAGCTACTACTTGTAGTTTTATGCACATTTCATCATAATCTCGGATATCTAGATGAGCCAATTGTTCCCTCAATTCTGGTCTAGCCTTCTCCAATAAGCGCTTAGCCTTCCATTCGGAATCATCCCTATACTGCAGGTACGTGGAGTATCTAGATAACTCCTGAAACTTAGCAATGAATGTGTCCTCATCGAGGTTCCCTTGCTTAAAGGCATGGAATTCCGCTTCCTTCTCAGACCTTAACTCTGATGGAAAGTAATGCCTGAATAATTTTTCCTTGAATTCCTCCCAGGTGAGTGTAGAATCATCCCTGGGCCCTGCTGTCTCCCACCAATCTCTTGCTCCTTTCACTAGGAGCACTAATGCTACTTGTACTTTTTGATTGCTGGTGCATGTGACTACTCGAAAGATGGATTCGAGTCTCTTCACCCATTCCTCTACCACGGATGGTTTAAGGTTACCATCAAACGTAGGAGGGTTAAACTTCCTAACAGTTTCCCACACATCAGTAATGGTCGGTGGGGCTCTCTGTTCCTCCTGCCTAATTTCTTTCCTTCTAGACTCATGATCTCTTAGAGTGGCAGGATGTGAGGAACTGCCTTCCCCCACATGACTCTCAACATGAGCCCTATCTCCATTTTCAGTTACCTTTTGCCTCTTTAGCTCCGTCAACTCTTGTTCGTATCCTTGAACCTTGTCTGTTAATGTTTTTACAAGCATTCTTAATTCCGCCAAGTCAGGCTCCTCATTTGGCAGTGGCGGTGGCAGGTGCTCATGTTGGAATCCTGAGTTACCACGAGTAACAGGCATTTTCTCTCCCCTCCTAAAGGATACAAGATATAAATAATAAAATTAGCCTAGCTATATCATGGCCATACAATGAGAAGCACCATAACAATGTATATTGCCAACCGACTATATGCTCTGATACCAATATGTAACACCCTCAAATTTACAAACCGATTTTTCACAAGTTATTAATTCAAGAAATTATTTTTTTTTTCATTGAACCCTTATCATACCCTTATCATGGTAGAAAAATTTCTACCATGATACATCCAAGACAATATACCACAGGTCTTAAAATATCTCAAAAAGCAATTAGAACCATGAGGGACAGACATGATCCTCATAGCATGTTATTTAAATTAGGTCATGAATCAAAAGGGACAGACATAATCCTCTTGGACATATAAATGCATTTAATAAAAAGGATTAGAGTTTACATGCTCCATAGACAAGATATGTCCTAAGTTGGCACAAGATACATTGTATAATCCAAAATAAGAGGCAACGTAAAAGATGGTGTCTCATACACCATAATTACACCTCTGGTGCTTTCTCGGCCGGATTCGCTCCTGTAAAAATATTAACCACGGGGAATGAGACTTAAAAGTCTCAGTAACCAAAAATTAATATGTAATGATGCATGCGGATGTAACTAATCATGCGATTGCTAAGTGGGCACACAAAACATTTAACCGAACAATATTTTCAAACAAACCGAACAAGTATTTAATTGCATGACTGCACCTTATATCCTCCTTTCACCATGCTCGGACGCCAAATCACCCGGCCAAAGGTGAGTTGGACCAAGCGACACGCCACTCATTGGGTCCAATGAGGGCTTACCACGTGGTAATAATTAACCGAACAGAAATTCCCATTAACACCATACATTAAAATACCCTGACAAGTCATGCATCATTCAAATATCCAAACAGGAATATATCCGAACAATAATATCTCATCATGATAAACAAAAATAAATTTTTAACCCACTTGGCAATAATTTCAAACAAGTATATACAGTATTTATTTTTAATAATTCATAATTTTTCCAAACAACAAAACAACACATAACCATTCACAAACACACTCATCACAACACATTAATAATGGTTACCTTGTGTCTTGAATAACAAGTTCCCCTTCACAACTCCTTTTTCACCACTATCTTTGTCAATATAATCTACATAATTATTTCACAATACTATATATTAATTTTACATTAAAATAAATAACTCTAATTTAAAGAGTTAGAAAGTCTTAAATCTATAGTCCATATTAACACTAATTTAAGATTTATGCCTTATTTAACTTCCCAAATTCTTTTCTAAAATTCTCGTACCCTAATGAACTATTTTTTTTTATCCTCAATTCACTTCTAGTATCACAATTTCATCCTTCTACATTCTAAAAATTCATCCAAAAATAAATTAAAAATTTTAAAATTATCCTGAAGCCTCAAATCACCTTTCTATAACCTCAAAAATACCTATTCATACTTAAATAAATATTTAATAATCATAGATTTATCCCTACATCTCAGATTCCACATAAATTCAACCATATAGATCTAGATTTTAACTCAAAAATTCTTAAACATGAGTTTCAACCTTAAGAAAATATTCTATAATATTTACTATATCCCTAAGAATTTTAACCTATATTTTTAATCCATCATATCATCAGATTAACTATCCTATAGAAAAATCCTAATCAAAATATTTACTCTATCCTACAAAATAATCATATCACTAGAAAGCTAATATTATTTAGAAAATAACTATAAAATTAATTTTGTAATTAAATAAATTTTTAAATGCTAATCTAAACAGGAAAGTTAGAACATACCTGAAGAAAAAAGAAAATAATCCCCCCTTGCGAGAAAACGCCGAGCAACATGAGAGGAAGAGAGAAAAATAATATAAAAATGGGATTGTGAGTCCCAAAATTATATTAAAAAAAAACTATAGGTTTGAATTTAATTATTCAAACCTTTGGGCCCAAAGTTGCAATTTTCTCTAAATTGCATCTTAGCCTCTCATGCTTCCTAATGCACACACCCCCTCCTTTTTATACATGAAGGCACCTCTTCTCTTCCCTCATCTAACCAATGTGGGACTTAGAAACAACAACCTTCCACCCCCCCTTTTTTTTGTTCCTTCTACCTTCTCTTTTTTTTTAACACACACATAAAAAAAATTATTTATGTATTATATCTTAACTAAATATTACTTATGTGGTTTTAAATTTAAATTTTTAAATTCATAATTAAATACCTAATCATAATATTATTTCTAAATAACCTCAAATAATATAAATTCCTATTATTATTATTTTTTTCCTCAAAACCTAAATTCCACAATTTCTTTATTATATAAAAATCAGGATGTTACATATTCCAACAAGGACAGGCTATATAAGCTTTCTCAAATGCACCAATAGGACTCTTATCAGACAGATAATGGCCACACCAACTTTTAAATGATGATATTGATATGGGATTAATTGTAAATCTAAGTAAGTGACAAACTAAATTCTCCTCATTCAATTGCGGAAAAACATCATATGCTCGATGGTTTCAGGGTATGGGTGGCAAATAAGACAAATGGGATATGTAGAACATTTTTGAGAGTGGAGAGCATCCTTGGTTGCCAAGGACCAATTGAGAGCCCTCCAAAGGGCTTGACTTTTGGATGATTCTTTAGCTCCTACACTTGTTTCCAAAGGCTCACTGAAAAAGCATTAGACGTGCTCGGGATTGGGAAGTGACAGGGTGAGCTCTTATTTACTCAAGTTTATAGCCAATCTTAGAGGCATATTTGCCATTCCTTGCACCTATCCACACAACTGAGTTAGAAGATGAATGTACATGAATATGAAGATTTCTAATACAAGATAAAGTAGTATTAGACATTAAAGGTTGGATTGATTGAAGGTCCCAGGCACCATTGTGAATTAAGTTAGATGCTTTAAGGCACTTATCAATAACAATACCAAATTATTTTCATGGCTTATCACAAACTTAAACAACCATATGACACATCATATACATAAGCATGATCAAACTACCTTATACCCTCCTTATATCTTCTGATGGAAATCATGGATTTTAACATCAAACAAGGTTCTATATGTATGACTAGATTAACCAAACTCATCAATTGTGAGATGTGACCTGACCAAAGATCACAGGACTCACTCTCGAACCATGGTTTTCCTCACTCTCGAATCTTTGGGGTGTCATATACTCTAAGCCAACCTCCTCAATAATTTGGTAGAGATAGCTAGGTTCTAGTTCCTCGACAAGCTATGAGATAATGCTATACCCTTATGCACTGGAAAGTAGCCAAAAATACCATATATATTCTAACTACTCTTTCCCTTAGGCAAACTTTCGCTAACTTATTATGCTATATGTGATGCTCACCCATTTCACAATTTCATTTATCCATTATTAGTATGTTGGGCTCACGTTAATACACTACTCAAGTAAGCATCCATAATGTTTTCACAACCATTTTTCTCTTTACTAGATCATCAATTTTCTTCATCAATAAAACAATAATCACATCACATCATACCACACTTCTCATCCCAAAATACATGCATGTTCATGATTTTGAAAATCATCTTGACTTCAATTTCACATTTCAAATCAAAATAAAACATCATGTACATTCACAATTCAACAATTGTCAAGACTCATAATGGGCTTTCATATTCAAAGTCAAATCATACATGCCAACATGCATATTTTATAATTAACAATCAATTAACAAATAACTACCTGAAGTAAGATTCCTCCAGTTATTTCAAACTTTTAAGAAGTCAAAAATTTACCTCTCAATGCTTAGCTTTCAAGCTTGATTTCCAAGCCAAACATGGTGCTTGAATGCTTAAATCTACAATTAATAAATTTTAACTCATTGACATTGTCAAGAACACAATTCCATTCTCACATTTTCACTTTGAAAATACCTAATATCCTTAATTTCAACCTTGTGCTTACCCATTGGGTTCATTAAATCTCATTGGTTTCCAATGGCTTCATTAAACTCCTATATTATTATTTATGGCTCCCTAGCCAACTATATCTATAATAATAAATGGCATTTTCGACTATTAATGACCCCACAACCATAAAAACATGTAAACTCATTAATCTTATGTTTAAATACCTTAAAAAACTCTCAGTAACCCTATTTGAGTCAATGAGTTTAGATCCATAACTTATATGGACTGAAAATCATCTTCCATTATCAAACCATAATAAAAAAACTTCAAAAAAATGGAAGAAAAAGGGAGATTAGGGCATAGGAAACTTACTTCAAGTTGTTACTAGCTCCAAAATGCTCTAAAACTACTATTGTGGCAAACCCTAGCATAGCTTCATCACTTGCTCTTCATTTTCTCCTATTTCTCCTGATTTTTTGTCTATTCGTGAGTTTCTTTATCAAAAAATCTGGCCAGCAAGCGTCAAGGTGCATGGTATAAAGAGGCTCTCTTTCTTCAGTCATCATCTGTTTACCATAAAGACAATCCTTCATATTTTTCTCCTTCTTTGATGTCGGGTGGCTCATCTTTACTTCAAACTTATAATTAAGGTTGGAATCACAACCAATTACACTTATTAGATCTCTCTGGCTATATACCACATCAAATCATTCACTTATCATAATTAAACTTGACTAATTTCTTAAGAGTCTAAGAATTAAAATTTAGGATGTTACAGAAGACATACAATCATCAAGAACTCCTTTGAAATGATTGGCCAGAATTTTCAAGAGGACTTTAAAAGCAAAACTACAAAAACTTATCAATTTAAATTGAGTTGCCATTTATAGCCCATCGATTCTAGAATTAAAATTAAGTTTGTGTCATTTAGGGAATCATGATCTTCATCATGAACAAGAATATTGTTGAGAGTGAGAATCACTGACCTCCTCCCATGGTGATAATTTTTTTTTGATAGGAAAAAGTTTAGATAAGGTGGATGCCGGTAACCTACTAGGGCTAGGACAGACATCCCAACCTCTTTGAAGATTTTTGGGAGGGATTACTGATCGCCCACCAACAAGTACCTCATATCAGTAACTTTCACCCTTGTAGGGTAAAGGCCAAGTCTTTGACCAACTGCATCACGCCTTCATTGGTTAAAAGAGGGGTCCAACACAAGGATTTCTCATAATATCACTCACCCTAGTATTATTTTTGCTCAAGCACGCCTAACTATGAAGTTATGATAGAATCTGATGTTTTAGTAATGGTATGATCGCATCCTGATATTATTGCCACTGCCAGGGATGCTGTCATGAAGTTGTTCGCTTGAGTTGTTGACTGTTGAGGCTCCTGAAATTTAGACAACAAAATAATCCCATCACATAACAAAATTGGGCGAGGTCCACTTTTTCATAATCCATCACCGTAAGTCTTGGGCTTAACATGGTAAAGTGATATCGGGCTAAAATCTCAAAGCCCAGAATTCGGGGATCTCCGTCATTAGAACATTGTGGTCCTAGGCATGGAGCCGCAAACTTGCAGGGCGGTGTTGTATTCGAGTCATGGAGGAGCACGGGTTAGATGATCCCTCCCTCCATTTGGTTTCCGCTTTCCTGGCAATGGAACCTTCTGACTCCTTGATCTCCCGTGCCAGGTAGATACAAAATACTTTCACCCGCTTTCGTTGTTAGCAAATTGGAATGAGTAACATATTGCCATTGATTGCAGGGTATGTGGTGGGGGCTTAATCACAGAGCAAGTTCAAGAATTCATCTGGGATCACTGCTTGAGCAAAGCTGTAGGTTCTCAATCTTTTACATATCGTGACCCCCAATTTCATTTGAACGTGTTTGAACGTGTACGTTTTACTTCAGTTTTTCAATATAAGATTCTTCTTTGCTCAGATTCAATATATGGACCTGAAATCTTTCTTACACCTTAGTTTTCCTTGGAACGGGAAATAGCAGGGTTTTATTGTACATGAAAGGGTTTAGTTCACTCGATTGTAAATTCACAATGCTCTTCTTACCCTTTAAACCCTTCTTTTAACCCTGGAAAACTGATCATCTTGCGTTTCCATTGTCCATTGGTATGCTGCACCCATTTCATTCATTCATTTATTTATTTTCGGTAACTTTGTTGAGATGTCAAGATTGAATGGAGTGAATGACCAATGCAGGCCGGATTTCATGCTCCGTACTTGAAGAATTTTTTGAAAAAACTTATCACTGAAGTTGAGTTGGAGCATGGCAGTGTATTGGACAACTTATACGAACTGTATGCCCACCACATGACATCAATAAAGGTGTGATCTTCAAGCAGTATCTTTGGGCCTTGTGCTTTTCCCTTGTTGGGGATTTTAGATTTTCTCTTTCTTTCTTTCTTTGTCTTTTTTTTAACCTCGCTTTTTTTTTTGGTGGGGGGGGGTGTTTTAGGTTTGTGTATTATCTGTGTCCATTTAGAGGTTTATGGTGATATATTTGTCTGCTTGCTTGTTTATTTTGGTCAGGACAACAGTTTGGTCAAAAGCGATGAAAAAGTCCACAAAAAAATCTCATTTCTTTTTCCTGATGGTAAATAAAAAATAATCCACGTTGCTCATGCATCATTAAGATTTTAAGTCATTCCGTTGTTAACTGGTATCACTATTCACTAGGTTATTCTGATCTACAAAGTTGCCCGCACTCGAGGGTCCTGGTCTTTCCACTGCAGTGTTCTTTAAATATACTTGAAGGTGATACTGGGTACGCTTTACAATTGTTATCTTAATATTTTGTGGCATTTGGTATATCAAACTTGTAATTTGGCAATTATTCTTTGGTGTTGAAAGTGATTCGGTTTAGAATGAGTGTATTTCCTCCTTGCACTGTGAGTGTGCATTTTTGTTCATTGTGTTCTTTTTTAATTTTTTTTCTATCTTTAAATCCTACTGATCAATATGGCTTTTCATAGGTTTTATTGAAGTTGTTGTTTGTTTTGACATTGCAGGTGCTCGATATGGCCATCAAGTCTATTCTTGTCTGAGTTAATACTTTCTTATCCTGAATTATTTTCTAGTAAATCTTGTTTTGAGGTTAGTTTTATATTCAAGAGTGTTTTTTTTTTTTAAACTATTGTAGTAATGACCTTATAGCAAACATAAACTAATCATATATGGTTCATGAACGTGGCTGTTGGGGGAAAAAAATGAATGTGGCAATATCATGGTTATCTCCATTTTCTGAGGCTTGGAGAGATCAATTTTCCCTTTGGTTGAGTTTTTTCACGTTCTGGATGTAACTTTATATCATGTCATATATTGCATCAAGATACTTTGGCTAATCTTATTATATTCTGCTTTGTTAGACATACCTAACATTTGAGACAGATTGGTTCAGGAGTTGGCTTAGTTGGAATATGTCTTGCTCATGTGAAAGCTTCTGAGGTATGCTCAAATGAAATTAAAATTCCCAGTCCGTATAACTTCAATCAATGGAATTTTTACTCTTGAATATAATTTTTTTTTTTTTGGTAATTTATGTTAGACAAGCAAAAAGTGCCAAGGATTTTATATGGGTAGCATTGGCTATTCGGTGATACTACATTTCCAAGTGTCAATTTTAATTAGCACAAAGTCCTAAATATCGTGCCTATTAATAGGTGATATTGAGTGATGGTGACCTGTCAACTTTAGCCAACATGAAGTCCAATTTGGAGTTAAACCACTTGAATGTTGAACTTGAAATGCCAGAAAGAAACAAAAACCTTAACATGGTGAGCATGACTGCTAATTGGAATGTTTTTTATATATTAGATTGATAGATTGATTGCTTGAGTTAACAAGTCCAAACGATATGCTTCTATGCCCCTTTGTTATTGGTTTTCTCTGTTTATAATTTATTCTATATATGAATGCTATCTGAACAGAAAAGGCTAAGGAAAATGGAAAAACAAAGCTTTAAAATCAAAGGCATTAGAGAATTTCATTTGAAAATTTAAATATAAAGTCGCAGTTGACATTGTGGGAAGAAATGGAGTAAAAGTTACTCAGAGCCAACATGTAAGACAGTTCAATAGATGTTAAGCAAAATTGAAATTGGGACAGACAATCGTAATAAATTAGGTTATAAAATTGAAATAAATAGAAATGTCCAATGGTATTAAAGGGTCTGGTGCTCGCAGCCTTTACCCCTCATTTGAGAGGGAACACAAATTAGTGTTTCTTGGGGAATGGATGGGAAAAGTTTCCTTCTTTTACTGTTCGCTTCCTATGATATTGCAGCTCAAAACAAGGGGAAAGGTTCCATTTTCATTGTTTTTGGTTGTATTCACATTCACTCGGACACTTAAAGTAAAAAATATATTCTTGTAGAAGAGGAAAAGGTAGTCTGAATCATGTGTATCAAGGCTCTGCAATTGCCTGATCTGAATCTTTTCACCTATCTCAGGTAAAGTGCATGTACCTTCCATGGGAGTCTGCATCAGAAAGTAAGCTCCAAGATGTCATGCCAGATATTGTGTGAGTGTTGCAGTTCACTTCTTATCAATATACTCCCTCGGTTATCAAATATAAGCAACAAATTAGGGGAATCCTTTGTTATCAGATGTAAGAAATACTGCAAACTTCTATGAATGTTTAGTGTAATTTTTATAAAAAAAGCCTAAAATGCAATAGTCGTATGTGCACAAAAAATACTAAGTAGACACTATTGTAGTTAGTGGTCACCTAGGTCAAATCCCTGACGAGTTAGATTGAAAAGTGATTTTTTAAGTGTATAAATAGTACCAAAAGAGTTTGTCTTAGTTTCCTAATTTGCAAAGTATTAAAACCTAACTAGTATTTATGATTTTCTAATCTTTAAAAGAAAAGTGAGTGAATAAGTGGTTCAAGAATGGAAGAGACGTGATCCCTAGGAGTGTGATGGAGAAGCAATCTTCATTCAATTAATTTATTTGCTAATCAATACTCTCATTGGCAAAAATTAGTTCAAGAGCTATCTCAAACGTAACAAACATAGCCACACACAATCCTGGCCATTAGTGATTATGTAGTGAGCTAGGCTTGCATCATTAAGTATCCATTGTGTTATTAGCCATTCAATTAGCAAAGAACAGCCCCTAACCAAGATTCAGTTCCAAAATTAAACCTAGTTAAGACTTTCCAAAGCCTCACCATGTAACCATACAATTGCTTAAGCTTTAGGTATTCAACAATTCAATACAACCATGCATTTAACCATTGAATTTAAATTTGGCAGAAAAATTCCAGCAATTAAATGACAGAATAACAAGTCTCCTCATACAAAAATAGCATAGGCATTTAATCAAACACTTTATGTGCAACATTAGAACTTCACAAATCCAAATAGGAATAGAGAAATTGCAAGAAGAAATTAAGAGGAAACTAGAATGTAAAAGCAGTGTTGTAAAAGGCGCTCGCCTCAGTGCCTAAGGCGCCTGGGCGAGGCGCTGAACTTGGCCATCGCCTCTCAAGTGAAGAGAGGCGATGGGGTTAGTTAGGCGCGCGCCTGAGAGCGCCTTGTGCGCCTTGCATGAGCAAAAGGCGCACGCCTGAGGGTGCCTAGTTTAAGTAGGTTGAAGAATAGGGGAACAAAAGATGGGCAGATGATAATTGACTACTGGGCATTGAAGGAGAGATGAAGACGACCGACTGGGACTGGGTATTGAAGAAGTGAAGAGGACGACTGACTGGGTTTGCCTATCGAAGAAAAGACAACGACCGATTGGAATTGACGAGGATGATGCTGACAGCGTATGGAAGAAGAGAAGATAAGGACAGCACCGACTACTTCACTTGACTTCTATGGAGTAACATATTGTAGAAGACAATGAGTTTGCTCATATTTTAATACATAACCCATTAAAATATGATATAAAATATGAAAAGTTAAATGATATAAAAACAAATATGGAATATTTAATTTCAAAATAAGAGAAGACAATTACATAATAGAAAAGATTTAAATTTATTACAAGAAATAATCTTTGATTGAAATTTTAAACATGATAGTGAAATTATTGTGAGCCTTGGAAAATTTTCAAGAAAATTTTAATCCCAACTTATACTGATTAGGTTATAAAAGAGAACCCATTATAATCCCTTGGAAGTTTAGAATAGAGCAGCAACACCAAGAGACTACAACACATGGTAGCACCTCGCTTCATTTGAGCACACGCCTTTCTAGCGCCTTGCGCCTAAGGCGTTTTACAAGCTTTGCGCCTTAAGTGCGCCTTTCGCCTTTAACAACCTTGTGTAAAAGCTGATCTAATATTTAGCTCCCTTGAACTCAAGCTTCTTCCATCCTTCTCCTAGGAATCAAGAGCCTTACCCACAAAAATCCATGTCCAAAGCATCACCAAACAGCCTCAAGAATGTATCCATGGCAGCAACTAAGAAGAGGAAATTGCAGAAGCTAAAGGAGAAATAATGGATGAACAAGTGTGGAGGTTTTGTGGCAGATGGAGGAGAGAAGAGAATGATCGGTTCTGATTTTGAATTGATGAGATAAAAATGCAGAAAATGGAAGGGAGCGATGAGAGCAATGAAGCTGGAGATGAGAGGAGAATATGATGTCCAAAAATGAGAGTGAGTGAGAGAAATGAAGATGCGATTCTCCAAGTGATGAGTGAGTGAATTGAACTTGTATTCTCCAATCTAATGTGGTGGAGAGTGCGTGATGTTTACTTGATTTTTAGAGAGTTTTTTTCCCCCTCCAGATCTGGAGAACTGAAAAAAAGGGTGATAATTCCAAAGTTAAAAGAACAAAAAAATAACATGCCATGTGAAAAAATTAGAAGAGTGGAAAGCATAGGAAGTGGAATTGGTGAGGAGTTGGAATGAAGTCCAATGGAATTAAGAATGGCTTAGGAAAAATATTAAAAAATAAATGGAGAATAAAATAAAATAAAAAGAAAGGAAAAGAAGGGAAGGGAGATTTCCTGATTTATCCTCTTTCCTCTTCTCTTCATGTAACACCTACACATAAAATAATAAAATCAATAGAAAATTAATTTTAGGGAATTTAAGAATAATATTCAATAAAATTTAGAAAAATATGTCATGAATCCCAAAAATTATATAAAAATATTTCCTTGCCCTTTAATCACAAATATTACTCAATTAAACCAAAATGCTCCAAGACAAGTGTTAAAAAGCTAAGAAAAGTGAGATAAAAATGTGTGAATTATCAAAGCCCCTCATAAATAACCAAAGGACTCAATTTCCCTGTGAAAAGTAATCACCACTTGCGCCCAACTACATATCTTTGTTGGGGGCAAAATAAGAAAAGTAGAAATAATTTTTTAGACACTAGAGCTTAGTTTCACTCACTTAAAATTTGATAACAGGGGAAGTGCATATGTTAAAACTAAAACAACTGACACTGTAGGTTTACTGTGCATCTTGATCTGTGTCCAATTCTCTGAAAAGTTAATAAATCCATGCAACCACTGATTTAATGAGCCTAGTTATTTATTTATTATCATTTTTTTTAACCGTGCCCAGTTCATTTGATTTTCGAATTACCGCTGTTGTTTTCATCAGTTTGGGTGCAGATGTGATTTATGATCCGGCTAGTCTTCCACATCTTGTTCGAGTCATTAGCATCTTGTTAAGCCATGCGAAATCATATTCTTGCAGACAGGTTGCAAGTGATCTTGCACCGAACAGCAAATATGGAAATGGTGAGCTTCATAATAAGAATCAACGTAATTGTGAAGATCTTGCTGACGTATCTGCCGTTGCAGGAACGACAATTAATAATTATGGTAGTGGTGATGGGCCCAAGGAAGCTCCGCTAGCTTATATAGCTTGCGTTGTACGGAATGTCGAAACGTTTAGCTATTTTCTTTCTCTGGTGGATCAGGCCAAACTTGATATCGTGGACCTAACTGGCTCGCTAAAGCCAGCAAGTCTCCTTCCTTATATGCACGCGTACAATGAAGCTAGTATTAGACTATTACGTATCACTTGCAGTCGGTAGATGGAAACTAAGGCTTGTATAAGATCATTGCTATTGTTCGTATGGCACATGTATTTTTAGCTGCCCAAAATTTACTGGACTTGATAATTTTTCATTGTTATCTGGTCTGGTGCTGTGGATGCTTCATGTAAAAATCCGTGACGCCTATCTTATGTCAAACTTTTCCAGCAGCGCAGTTATGGATGTAACATTATGGCAAGTATTTTCGTAGTTTTTATTTTATATGATTTGTTTAAGTAAGAAGTTATATAGCGCGAGTTAAACTATTAATCGGATCTAATGAGGAACTTGGTGGATAGTATGTTTGGTTTTACCGGGTGCTGCGAAGCTGCGAATATAATGTTTTAGGGCATTTTGACAAAGAAAAATTTGTTTTAGGGCATTACTAATTCGTCCCTGGGAGATGTGGTTGGTTGGTTAGGTTATATTGGTGTGTTATCCTTTTGTCTTTTTCGTTATTGCAATTTTTTCCGGATTAAAAGACAAAAATGTCTTAATTTTTTTTTCTCGTAAAGGGTGTCTAATATTCTCTACTGTTTTTTGAAATAATATTATCTAGAAATTTTAAAAATTATAAAATTTTGTCCTGTTAAATTTGAAAAATGTTGCCCCTTGAAAACTGAAGTTTGATTCATGGGAGGACAACGTAAAGTTTGACTATCCTTCTTTTTCCTCCGTGTAAGTGCTTCATCTCTCTCACTCCCAAGCCTTTGCCGTCCTAAACCCTGTGTGGCTGTTAGGCCACTTTCAACTCAAATCCGATCTCATATTCGAACATCAGAATCTAAGCCCCAATCGCCGTCATCGCAGTTGCATGTGACTGTTCCAACGAAACGCACTTCCCTGAATGTTACAAATCCGCGGCAAAAGCCAGAAACTACGATTCTGGGAAAGCCTCCTGAAGATGTTAAGAAATTCTACACCCTTTGGGATTACCCATTCGTGTACTAAGAATAAAAATCAACGCTGACTTGTGGGTCCTTGATTCTAAACATCTGCAGCGCAGTTGAGAGTTAAAAAAACACATTTAAAATTATAATCGAAAGCTGATGACGTAATCATGGTGGATACATAAACTTGCGGTGTGAATGGATAGAAGCTCATAGATGGCTGCTTAGTAGCTTCATCCTGAAGACTGAGGAATAGGCATGTACAAAGTGAAATATATAAAATGAAAAATTTAAAATACTATGTAATAAGGTAAGTGCATAGAGTGCAAAATAGTTTTATTCTAAAATAATATGTATAACTTGTAGTGGTGGTGCCAAGATCTTGTGTTGGGAGTACAACATTTTAAAATTAATAATTTAAAAATTGTATCTTGTGTGACTTCATGTTCTGGAATCATAAAGCAATCTTCTCATTATCAATATTGAGGAAAATATCTTTTTTAATATAAGTCAGTGAACAATTATTTATCAATAAATCTCCTATACAATTACGCAATCAATTTTTCACAAACTTCATACTAAAAAATGCTCTTTCCATCGTTGCTGTGACAATAGGTAATATCATTGCTAACTTCAAGAGAATATAAACTAAGAGATAAATTATATATTTTCTTGTTTCCACCAATTTTTGTGCAAGGCTACCAATTCCTTATAATGATACAAATTCAATATTGCTTCGCATATCAATGATGTAAGTCTCAAGTTAATTATCAAGTATCATTAAATTAGAGAAAGAAAATTCACATGAATAAAATTTAGCAAATTCAATTAACCTTTCCTTATCAAAAGCTGAGAATGAATTTGTTAGATTCAAACAAGACATACTAAGGAGTAATTGTGTATTTGTCTCAGTGAAACGATCACTCAGTTCTTGAAGTTGCATATTCACAACAGTATAAAATAATTCAACTTGATAATGATAATCAATTGTGACTGCTTGAGATTTACTTCCATGATGCCATCTCCTTTTGGACAAAAAAGTATTTTCCATGTTAGGAATATCAATGTCATGTTTATTGCAAAATAAAATAATTTCTTTTAAAAGACATCCACCATCCCTCAAAGTTTGTAATTGCTCATTTGTGATGTTTACCAAGTTCATTGCATTAATAATATCTTAATCCTTACTTTGCAATGCCTTTGACAACTCATGTGAAATACCCAAGACATTTTTCATTAAATGTAGGGTAAATGCAAAATTAAAATCCTCTAACAAGCATAAAAGACCATTGGCTTTAGCTCTTTGATCTGCATTTGTTCCAGATTCTTTTATAATTTAAGAACATCAATTATAGCAGAAAACATCAATATCAAGTTAATCAACTGTGCATAATGTAAGCTCCAACAAGTATCGCCCCTTCATTTGAGATTAGTTTCTTGATTCAAGCCTCGTCCACTAGAGATTTCACCTATTTCCAATGCCTTTCTAACATTTTCTATTAATTTTTCATGAAGCAAGTCATGTCGCTTACAAGATCCCCTAACAACATTTGTTATAGAATTTACTAAATTCAAAAGAGAGGCAACTTGAATATGATTTTTAGCGATTGCAACTAATGTAAGCTGTAGTTGATGAGCAATGCACATAAATGAAAATGAATTCTCCCTTAAGATTAAACTTTTGAGACTACTAGATTCACCTTACATATTACTAGCACCATCATAACCCTGTCCACGTATTCTTGATATACTTAGCCCAAAGTTGCATGACAACTCTTGAACTTCTATCTTTAATGACAGAGCAGTAGTCTCCTTAACATGCACTATACCAAGAAAACACTCAACAATACATCCATTTTTATCAACATAACACAAAGCAACAGCTATTGGCTCCTTATTTGATACATCACGTGACTCATCAACAATAATAGCAAACAATTCATCTCCAAGATCACGAATAATAGCATTAGTGGTTTCAATTTCATGGGAAGTCAATCAGCTATTTTCAAGGGCATTTTCCAAAACAACTTGATTGATTGATTCATTATGGTCAATAAGAAACTTAAGAAGTTCATGAAAATTACCTTGATTGGTAGACTTACTTGATTTATCATGACCTCAAAAAGCTAATCCTTGCTTTAATAAAAAGCAGAGACAATCAATTGATGCATTCAAACGTCTTCAATACAAGTCACGAACTTGTTCAAATTGCTTAAAAGTTGCAACTTCAATATGTTGATTTTGATTCATTAAATTTTGAGTCTTTTTCCAAGCAATATTATGAGCATTATTAGGACCTCCAACATGAAATGCAAATTTTTCTTTGTTATTCCAATTTGTATACATCACCATCTAATTGCTTTCCATGGTCAAGCCTAAAAGATAACAATACAAGCAAAACGTTGCACCTTTTTCAATACTATACTCCAACTAGTTGCCAAATTCTTTAAATCAAGAAGGACAAAATCTTTTTATAGAATTTTTAATTTTTCTTTGGGGAAAATTATGTTGAGCAAGTTGACATGGTTTTTTTTGCAAATATGCTCTATGTACTTTATCTTGGACATTAGGATGATATGATGAAATTCTAATTCTTTTTCCTAGATCTAATAACAAATCTTCCAGATTAATTTCATTTTGTTGTTGTTGTTGTTGGCTATTTGATTCATAAGCTCTTGATGAAGATTGTCCTTCAATTGATGGTAATTTCTTTTTTAAAAATCTCCATTTTCTATTCAACACCTAAAAAATTTCAAATTACTAAATAAAAAATATCTAAAAATATTAAAGCATTAAAAAAAACAACACAAGAAGCATGTGTCGTATTGATTTTACAAATTAATTTACTAAAAGGGGACTACAACTAAAGTACAAGAGTGAACATATTATTATAATCAGATTTTTGTTTGTTTGTTTTCTTTCTAGTCTGGCAATTTGAACTTAGAATTTGCAAGCACACAAACCAGCAAGTTACAAGCGTATAATTAGAGTCAAATTTGAAGATTCCAAACCCCACACTAAATGACAAAACACAACATTACAAATAATTGTTTATTCTACAGTGAAAGAAATGATAGTTTGACCAAAAAAGAAAGAAAGGAGGACACACATGTTAGTGACGTTACCAAGATAAGAATGGGATTGTTCTCGGTCAAAGTTGCTTCTTTATCTCCTCCACTTTCTATTTTTTTATCTCTCACTTTTTTATTCAGCTTCAGCCTTCAGCACTCGGCAGACTTAAGCATGAGCAGCAAATCTTTGAGATGATGACTGATGCTTGAAAGCTCAGTTGTTCTTCTTTCGCGATGAGATGCAGTGCAGACTAATGACAACTTTAAGCTCTCTCTATCTCATCCTTCTATCTCTATTATTAGGTTAGTTTTTCTCTTAATCCTTAAAAAATTAGTTTATGTTCTAATAAATTTATTTTTTAAGGAAAATAAAATTTATATTTGGGTTTAATAATTTTAAAATTTTGGGTTAATTTTTTTTGGGCTTCAACTAAACATATTTAAAATTCTTTTAGAACCCAACCATTTTAAAGTTGGACTAGAGGTGCAAAATATTTAAGTCAAAGGGTGCAAAGTAGTAAAATATACCACCTCCTCCTTGTAATTTTCTCTAAAGTTAAGGGGTGTATTTTCCCCCTACTTGCACGGAGTATTGGTGAGAGCGTATGTCATTTATATTTCAAAATAGCTAAATTAACATTAATATAGTACTAGTGACAACCTAGGTCATTATTCACTAAGGAAGCTAACTAAGGTTAATTAAGGCTAAATTAGTGAGCTAAACTAACTAAGAATTGATTTACTTTAGCTAATTAAACTAAGTAGACAAATTTAATTTAAAACTTAATTAACTAGTAAAATGAAAATGAGAGTGTTTTAACTCTTTTTAAAGTGAAGTCCTAAGAGTTGTGGGATGCTAAATTCCTTGTCTATTCTTTTTAACTAGACTTAAGTTAATTTTCACTCTCTTGATCAAATTAAAGCCCTTACACAATTTTATATAAGTGTGCCTTTCTAACCAATTCAATTAACCAAGTTTTTGCACAATTTTGTATAAGTCCTTAATCTAAAATTTTACAATTTATGAAGGTAATTTTTGATCCATATGCCACGGTGCATGCAGCACAAGCCACAGCACATGGCACAGTAAGATTTATACGTGCACTTACTTTGACCTGAAACGCACTCCTCTTGCCCGTATCTGCTCACACAACATACAAACAAGTCAAAATATCAATTAATCATCTAAACTTCTAATCCCACACTAACTTTCACTTCACCCTTAATTAACCTCTAAA